CCCCCCCCCCCCCCCCCTTCCCTTTTCTTTTCCTCTCCAGCAAGTGGATGTCGTTTCCCGAGCCGTGGACCGGATCGCCGATTTCTTGGAGGCGCTCGCCACGGAGCGAGCCGCTGCCGCCAGGAAGCTCGAGAAGCAGGCCCAGCTGCGGCTTCTGCTGGAGCAAGAGCAAGGACGGGCGCACCCGCAACGGCGGCGGTTGCTGGGGTCGACCTCCACCGCTTGCGTGGAGGCGTTTTCGTCCGCGGTCGCGTTCCTCTCCGCAGCGGTGGCTGGCGTGAGCCCCGCTTCGACTGGCGATTCCGCCGAGCGGGAGGAGGAGGGGGCACGCGTATCGGATTATGGAGGCCCTGGCTCGGCGGCGAAAGGGGACAGGGGCCGGCAGGGCGGGCCCGCTGGGGCAAGGGCCGCAGTCGCTGCCCCAGGCGGTCTCGTCGGAACGGCATCGCCGGAGTCAGAGGCCTCGGAGTCCAGCCACGCGCGCCGTCCCAGCGTGGTGGACATCTTGCCGTGGTAGCGAGAGCGATAGCAGCAGTGGTTTGCGACAGCTCTGTTTTCTGCGGCTCTTTCGCTTTGCGCAACGTGCGCGGGCGGTTTGTGCGCGCACGTGTCCGTTCCAAAACCCAGTTTTCTGCCTGCGTGTGCGTGCTTTGGAGGGTGCAGTTGTTTTTTCGTGTTTACGCGTTGCTCACCGCTCGACCCCTTGCTTGCGACCGTCAAGCCCCCGTTGGTCTGCTGCCGGGGCCGCGGTGAGCGCCATGTTGGTGCCAAGAAAACACAGCCAGCCAAGCGCTCAATGTGGCCGTGGCTAGGCGAGTTTTCGTACTTGCAACATGGTGCGTGTGTGGTGTGGCAGGTTTCGGTTTGTCGTCGTTGTGCATGTGGCGTTTTCCGCCCTGATTTCGGGTGCTGCGGCGCACCAGTCGGTGGGTCGGCAAGGTTCGCACTGGCCTCCCGATATCATTTGGCGCTGGTGTTGCTGGCAAAGGTGTTGGTTTTCGAGTTGGGGTGAGCAATCGGCTTAGGCGTTGTGGCTTCAATTGTGTTGTGGTTTCATCTTTCTTGGCGGGTTGCGCTAGACTTTCTCCTGATGCCGCGACGTGCTACCTGCGGCACCGTCCTGTTGTAATTTCAAGTGGGGTTTTGATGGGACTCGCTGAGCGATGTGGAAAGGTGCCCTAGTGAATGTCGTAGTGAACAATGTCTTTGCCGACGAAATGCCCCCGCTTTTGGCGTTGTGTGCACGGTGGTTCATTGAGCATGTGCCCTTACCGGTTGAACGGTGCCCGTGTGCGGTGTTTTTGAGTATTTTGGAACGCTTGGTTTGTTGTTGCAGTTTTGCGCGTTGACATACAAGTGACATATGATGCACGTTTGGAAACTATAATTGCTGTAATGGATATTTTTGGTGATGGGTGATTAGTGATGAGTGATAGGGGTGTTAGCATTAAAGGCTATTGGCCCCACTTGGTCAAAAGTTAGGCTACGCAGGTGTTGTGTTTTGATCGCTTTCTCATGTTCACATCTTTGCCGTAGAATTCTGGCATGAACATCTGAAGAGGTTGACTTCTATTATGTAGTGTAACTCACTGCTCGTTCGAGGTTACTATTATAGCTTTGGCGAATAAATCGCACACACTTACGCTTGTTATCAAGCCCTCTAGGGCGCGTTAGTCTCTGTAGCGTAGATTCTCAAACCAGTATTAGGTTTTGGCCCAGGTTCTCGGGAGGTTATTGGCCCCAATTTTTGCTACCCCAGTACAGTTAGGCCGCATGTCCGTTTTTTACTTGGTTTTAGATTTGGCGATCTCCGACTTCTCTAAAAAGCTTTGGGATAATGTCCCCCGACGTCTCGGGTCGGGTCTCTTCTAAGGAGGCATCGGACGTCATGAACAGGTTCAATTCTGAGTCGCGACAACATGTATCCAATCAAGCGCGGTAGGGGGACATACAGTTCTAACCTTTCCAACATTTTTTGAGGTCAAGCTACACTCCAATATATCTATGGACAGGAAAATAAGGCCGTCCACTTACAACGATCCTGTTTTTTCCCAAACTGTAGTGTCTAGAAGTTGCTTTTTCACTTGACACCACAAAGCTTGAGAGGGTTTTGACCCGTGGAACAACTTGTAGCCAGCAGAGAGGAAGGTTAGTTCTTCCCTGGTTGATCCTGCACCGAGCCCGCGGAGCGATGCATCCTCTAGACCCACCAGAGCGAGACTCGCCCTACTCCTGTTTCTGTTCTGGTGTTCTGGTTGCTGTTGTGGACTCCGGAGGTGCGGAGATGCGCGGAGCAATAAAATGCGGCGCAATTGAACAAAGTGAAACCGCCGCGGAAGCTGCTACAGGTTACAGGCGGATTGCTACCACATTGTAGCGGAAGACCTCATTGCCAATCAACGAGGGACACGGTGGTAGTCCACGCCGTCGGATGGCTATACATCTCGACATATCTCCTTCTCCAAGGAAAATACATTTCGACGCGAGGTAAGTCGCACAAACTGCCGCAAACAGCAGACTCACGGTAAATATGCCGGTGACTTTCGGCCCTCCCGGAGGCGGCGCGGCGGGTGCGGCGCCTGCTGCTCCGTCAGCCGGAAGTGGCAACGCGAACGCTCACCCCCCAGGAGTGAAAGAAATCCTCAAGACAGTGACTCCGAACTATGTGGTGACGGCCGTAATCAAGAACCGCTTGGAGGAAGGCAAGATTAAGGCGCAGAAGAAGAAGAGACGCACGAGGCAGGAGATTTTAGCTGGCATGGATCTGAGGGAGCTCCAGGTTTGTCGTGTGCTACAACAGCAGCACATTTTGATGACGAAGATTATTCCGTTAGACACTACAGTACAAGTACTGTACATGCATGCATTTTACCACCCTACCTACCATACGAATTGTGAATGCGCTCGTCAGCCTTGTAGCTTTGATCTTGAACGTTCCAGAGCACAGCATATTTTGCCGCTCTGTAGACTACAGTCTACCCATCAAAAATTGCCTTTGTAATTTTATTTTCTGGCCAAAATGCAAGGACGTCAACCCAACGGCCAATAAACCATTGCCTGGGACATGCATCATGTGGGTGTCATATATACCGGAAACGAGCTATATAGTGCGGTTCCGCTAACGCGTACTCGTGATGTCGGATGACGGCACAACCAATCACAGATGGAGCGCCTCGCGATGGCCAGAATGGGATTTTTGGACAAGGCGCGTGAAGTGGAGGTAGGAGAGTTCTTCGCTATTACTACCGTATCAAGGCTGCTGCATGTCATTGTACTTGTGGTAGGTGCACAGGATTCTCAGGTCTCGCCTATCCGGTACAACTGTGAACCTACTCGAGGCTGCCTTCGCCCTCCCAAATGTGCCCCTTCACCTTTACGGCTGACAACAGTACGACTGTGGTTTTTATCTCAAACGGTGGTCTTTCTGTGATTGCATGTACATTTTCAAAACACAGTATGCGTAGCACATTTCCACGCTCCTTGGACATATCCGCGAGACGTTTGTCCCGGACGATCCACCCGCCCGGGGAAAATTTTCATGAAACCCGCCGCCGATGTTGACCTACAGTACTTTTCGCTCCCTCGAAATTCAACGCGAACGGGCAAGGTTTGGATAGAGTCCGAGAGATTGAAGACCCAGAAGGAGAGAGAAGAAAAGGAGCAAGCCATTCTGGCCCAGAAACTAGGCGGCCTCGACATGTCCCACCGTCGGAGGTACGACTGCCTCGAAAATCAACCTAAAGTACGCTATGAAAATTATAGTGTAGCTGAGCGTTGCGTAGAAGACAACGTCTTCCGGACGCAAGGACGAATCGCTCCGTATACAAATGCTGCTGGCTACACAGAGGGTTGTCATTGAATGCGAAAAAGCCACACCTTGTTTCACATTGTTCCCGATATCGTTCGCCTCGCCATATGCGTGTGAGGGTAAATATGTGCTGGTATGATTGAGCTCAAAACCAAACACGTTCACTGATCCAGTGTTCGCCGCGGGAACCTTCGTGCACCACCTCGACGTGAGCGACGACGTCGCGGGGCTGTCTACGCGAGGGATGCCTGCTGGATGATTTAAGAGCGTATGCGATTGTGCATCCTTAGGTTTATTGGCCTGGAGAACAAGCAGGGGGAAGGAGAGGCACAATTCCGAGCGAAATGTGAAAAGGAGAAGGTGAGTGAGGATGCTAGCATTGAAGGGAAACGAGCGGCGTGAGACTCAATCGAGCACTACCGGCGAGGAAAATACCGGACGAAAGCGAATGCCCACAGGCGTTGTCACATAAGGGACTCGAAATTATGCTCTGGGGACGAGCGCGGTAGATGAACGAAATCCCGTCGTCACCGATTTGTTCAAATATCCTTGTTTCGTTCTGCTCATTTTGCGGTATTTTCTTTGTTTCATCTTACCCCTGTTCTCCTGGCACTGTATGTCGTCACGGATGGCCAAGACGTTGCAGGACGCCCCCTTTTCCAACCGAGCGCATAACCCGCCCATTCATTTGAAATACCGTTGCTCTAAGAGGTGACCATTTCTTGCTGGCTTCAGGAAGAGCTGCGCCTTAAGCACAAGCGCGCGTACGACATGCTGATCGAGGAGACGGCCCAGAGAGCGTACGGGGGTGTAAGCTCCTGTCAGGTACCGGGAACCAGTATCTGAGAATGATTTCTTGTTTCCCGACCGGCCTTTGGAAACCGACGAGCTTGCGGTTGTCGTTGTCGCTGTTGCGGTCGCTGTCCAAGGCAGTGCAAATCTGTTTTTTTCGTCGTTGTCGCCAGTGTTGGTGTTTTGATGTCGACTTCCTGAGTTTTCCACTCAGCTGTTGGGCCAATATCTCGCACCTGTTAGAGCGGTGTAGGCTTTCTTCCAGCACTATCACCACAACGTCCAATTTAGAATGACTGTACCGAGGTAGGCGCCCGTTCGTGGGCCCCGTACATTTTTGCCCCGGGAGACATCAAAAATGTTATTCTCACATCAAATTGTAGTCTTTTCCCTCACATTCCAACTACTTGGCACTAGGAGCGCTCTCGCATCAACGGCTCATAGCGTGAGAGACAAAGCGTATTTAGCGAGATAGATGACACACCTCCTCAGCAGGAGGGCCAGTCGGACTCACCCTCCTCTTTCATTGTTAGTGACAAATGCCTGTGCGCCGCCGTGCACACTGCTCCGGCCGGGATCGGCACCACCGTGGCGTCCAATCACAGTGCGAGAAGACGTACCTGTGCCGGCACAACAAAACCGCCTCCTACAACACCAGGAAACCCACACGAGAGGTCATCCGGCTGCGGCAGGTGCGCGGGTTCAAGCAGGGGATACATATGGGAGAGAAGGAAGGCGAGGCTAGGGAGGGGTGTAGTCATCGCGTTTATGCCACCGGGATTTGATGGTGATGCGGCCATGGGAAAGGATGGAGAGCGAGGGCAAGGGTGTGAGACGAAGTTGGGGTGGGTCACGTCGTTCTTCGTGTTGGTGGGGGCGAGCTTGCCAGTGACATAACACTCTCAGCGTCGCCCCGAGCAGAGATGCGTTCGATCGATTGCGCGCCACCGGGTGAAACCACGGAACAAAGATACCCCGCAGGGAAACACTCACGGTCGAAACTCCTTGGCCTTTCCCACACCATCAAAACATTTTTCAACGAATCGCTGAACCCTGCAGAATGCGGAGCGGCTGCGCGCCACGGGAAGAGTGGAGGAGGCCGAGGAGTTTGAAATCCAGGCGCAAGACCTCGACGACGCCTGCGACAAGCAATGGAGAACCCGCGTCGAGCAGTCCATTGTCAGCAGGCAAGGTTCGAGTTTCGATGTTGTTGTTGTTGTTGTTGTTGTTGTTGTTGTTGTTGTCGTCGCGGTCGTTGTTGCACCAGAATCACGGCTTTCTATTGCCCATACCGCTACCGTTTCGGGCGTACCAGTCCAACGGGCAAGACCCAAATCTTCACAGCCATGACCCATCAGAAGGAGAAAAATCGCCAACCACTGCTGTGATAAAGAATTTCTCGGGGTACTCGCCCAACAACACGGAGAACAGTACCTACTCGGCGTAGAGGACGTTCTACGAGTCTCCCTTCGACCGTGGCATATACTAAATCGATGTTTTGCTCGGGAGGACCAGCAAGCAAGGGTAGAGCAGTCCTGAGCATCCAGGCCTCTCAAGATACAGCATCTAGCTACGTGCACCTCGAACCCATCGGTGGTATATTTATGCTTTTGCCGAGCAGGCGGCGACCGTCAGTTCTCGGCAGGCAGCCTTGTGTTGTTTTTGTTCTGTGTGGAGCAGAGCGCGGTGTGTGATCACGGTCGATGCACCCGACGGAAAACGTACGTTCCAAGCAGACCATTACAAGGTGAATTTGGTTTTGGCTACCACGAATACCGACACATGCACCTCGATATTGCTGTACCATCTGCAACACGACTTCGGACCTGCATAGTCACCAACGAAGTTTCAACAGGGCAGTACGAAATGAGATGTTTCTGAACCCCCGTCACTCTCGGAGCTGGCGTAGCCCCCGTGATGGAGGTCTTCGGCGAAGGAAAACAGTCACAGCCGTTCCTCGCTGTGGGTCCTCGAGAAGAACAGGAACCTAGTTATCACAGTCCGCATCCATGTGCCTCCCCAGGGCACCTTTCCTATGCTCTTGTTTCCTCGCTCGCCCGGTTTTGTTGATTCGGCCCGTTTTTATGGGTTTCCATCTAGTCCATTCTTCACAGGAAACCTCACACGATAAGTCTCTCCTCTTGGGAGCCCTTCTTTTGATACGCTGCAATACCTTACGGACGGTACAAATAGACTAGATGTTGGATCTGACAGGAGACGCTTGAAGACGCGCGGAGCGTTACTTGTTTTCTTTCTTGCGTCGCACCTCCCTGCTACGAACCAGCGCGTGGTCCGGTGGGAAGTCTCGACTGGAGCAGTTGGTGGAGAAGCAGCAGCATACGGTCAAGAGCTTGGAGGTAAGTTAGGCCGACACAATCGATGCACCAGCTGATGTTGTAGGTTGTTTGCGACAGTCGAAACACCTCGTGTTGATTCCAGCAAGTCAGTGTGAAGATGTAACGAGCAACCAGGTGACGGTAAGACTTTATCGAGAGGTATGTTCCGCTTACTACCTGTTTCCGCCTTCCGGTGGCTGAGTTCAGAGTTTCATCACTCACGAAAAACGTGGTATGTAGGTCGAGTTCACGATTCATTCAAAATCAAACACGCCATTTCGCGTAGAGAAACACTTGTCGGTATGCACGACTGGGTGATTGTGCCAATACAGTAGACCTGTCGGCACAAAGGATGTTGAATCTGCACAGCGGTGGCTCAGGAGGTGGACGACTGATATGCGTAGTATGGACGTCTGTGTTAAGTGCCGACACCAAATGCGATTTTTGATGTGAATCCGTCCCAAAGCCTAAGTCCTTGGTTGGACCGATCGACCCGAAGAGTACGAGAGCAAATTTCCTCGTGTACGGAATAAACTGCAGGCGATGTTTGTTCTCGCCAATGTTCGAGAAAAGATCCCCATAACAGGCGCACGGGTTGCCCTGGTGCATCACTAAGTTGCTTCCTTTCAGAGCATCTAGACCACCCTTCGACCATCCGGTCGGCCATGAAACCCGAACTGTTTTTCATCGTGCCAGAAACGTTCATGCTGTGCTCAAACCAGGAAACGCACGAGGCCAAGTACGAACTACTGGTCAAGCAGCAGGACATCCAGCGAAGAAACCTCAAGTCAACGTTCGAGGCGGAGAGGAAGAAGGTTGCCATGTGAGTACTGGCACTGCGGCGTCCTTCATATTATCCCGCGAAACGTCACGCCTGTATCTATGCGTCTATGACAACGTCCACACGGTTAGACCTGGTGATAGATCATCGCTTGCTTGTTTTCGTTCATGGTGGCTCGGTGTGTGGTTAGCGTGCGGCCGTTGTGGGAGTCGTTGTGTGCTCCTTTGAGTTGCCCCCCTGGTCTGGTGCTTGATGGCCACCGCCCTGCATGGTGCCCGCTGAGAATTGGTTCGAGTTCAGGGCAACAGCAGAACGGGAGTTTTTCCCACCCGGGAAGAAGCAAAGTGACGTGAAACGTAGACCCCCACACACCAGGACGTACCATCACTGTACGATCCATATACACCAACTGGCGCCGACGTCGATATTGTGAAGACCGCGATGCCGGCCTTGCTTGCCGCCATGTGATGACCGACAATATTACCCGGATGATGTTGATCATCCTGCCAGAGAGGAACCTTCTATTGGAGTGATTGCATGTGTGGCAGCGTACCGAGCATGCGATGGCTGTGATGAACCGTGTCGTCTGTGGACTCGGCAAGGACCAAACATCGAACGAATCGTCAAACACAGGTACTGCCGTAGGGCAGCCCTGAAACGCATGACTCGCGACATCAAGGAGGACGCGGACGAGCAGCGCCGAACCATGGCAAACAAGTCTGACGGGATGGACAACGTTTTCCTTGGGAACGACAGGCAAGGGCGATTCATACCAGTATGGGAGCATTGTAATGTCTTTCTGCCGAAAGCAGGGCGCACGACGAGTTGACTGCCGCTCCTCCTTCTTGTGTACCGTTCGTCTTCCCGTGGTCATATTAGTGCGTTGTCGTTCTTGTGTTCTTATAGTGACGCGGTGCGCACGTTGTGCCGATTATGGGGTCTGTACGCTGAAACAACGAACACCTCTCCATTCGAACTGAGACGCATACTATACCGAAAAGAGGTCTTTGAACTCTGAGCCGCGTTCACATTTGAACTTGTTGTCTTCATCGTCTACCTTCCTAAATCTCCGTCGACAGGGCAATGCCCCCGGTCCAATATTTGACCTTCAGCTTTGTCCCTGCATCCATTGGTCAATGTAGGTCTACTTGATTCCTTCTTTCAACATTCCGTACAAATCTAGACCCTCCTTACCCTTGGTTTCTATGGGTCGTTTCTGTTCTTCTGTCTTGGCAAAAGACATATTTTCCTTGAACACCTCTAGACCTTCTGTTTCCAGTGTATCAACTTCGTCAATCTCTAACTCCTTCCATACGTCATTTACAACCTTGACGCACTCCGTGGGTTGTCTACCCCTCTTCTTGTTTGCCCACTTTGCCTCCCAAGCTATTATCGGCAATATCTCCTCTCCCATACCGTACATGCGGTACTGCCATGCTAGCTTCGTTGCGTCTCTCCCCGATCGTAGCGATTGGGTCCCCAGTTCTGCCCTTTCGACTGCAATATTTGTGCGCTGGGAAGGTGGGGGGGGGGAGTCAAGGGTTTTGCGTCATTCTCGAGGATAGATCAGCCGGAAAACAAAGTGGGGGCAAGTCCCTGGGATGCATGTCGATTTATCGTAGAGGTGTAGGACTCGGCCGTTGCTTTGCTGCTCGGAAGATGTGACAAATGCGTAGCTACAAAATATTTTCACAGAACCGACAGTCTATGATAAGAGGCTCTGCAGCCAAACCAGGCTAGTCTCGTACGGACCACCGTGGGTAGCATGGTGACGAGAATGGTAGTTGTGCCATCAGCATTAGCAACCGCTATGAGCTACGACGACGGCAGAACCAGTTTCTCGGCTGGTGTGCACGTCACGCCAATGCATAGCGCTGAGAAGAGGAGAGGCAGCCTTCAGAGTTAGGTTGGCGGGCGAGTGGCGACGAGACAAGACGTAGACTACAGAAAAGTACCAAGCCCGCGTAGATTCTGTTTCATAGTACTTTGGTGTAGCCATTGCGATGGAGCTATTGGTCGCCGTTGGGAACGGTCACGATGCCTTTTCTTCCGGTCTCCTGGTACGCGTTAGTCGACAACCTTACCGATATATATATATTTTTATATTCATCGCCTGGCCATGTGCACGCAGTGAGAGCAGCAGCGACGACAGCAGCCTCGACTCCGCCGCTCGCAAGAAAAAAAACGACCTCAAGCAGGCCGCCGCAAACTGGGTGGCTCCGACCTCCACTGGAGTTAACAACTCGGAGGCCATCGTGCAGTACGACGATCTCAAGACTGGCAAGATCTACTCGGAGATGGAGGTAGGTGTGCGTCGCGTCCGTTCATGCACCAAAAAATAAGAAATCGCTATTCTCTGTATGTGCATACTTCCTGAGTCTTTCTTCACTATCGGTTGCGATATTTTGTACACGTTTGTATTTCGAGAAGTCGAACAAATATTTCGAATTCCTCATGATTCATGCATCGCTTGGACCCTCCCCTAGCCTCTATGGAGGCGGCCAGTAGTGTTTCCAGCGTCATCGTGTACAACCATGAAACCTTGCGACACTTGAGTCGTTATTTTTCGGAAGTTTCTGAACAGGAAGATGAGACACAGCGTTGAACGCAACTACCGCATGTATATTTTTCTGGAACAGCTCGTTACACTTTCGCACCATACGTCCGTCGAGATTCATGCACGCATTTTATCCTGGGTAGGAAGTGACTGTCCGGACAAATTCAAGGGTACTGGCCGCGCCAACTAGGCGGACGGCGTTGGTTTTCGCAGTATGTGTGGGCGGTCGCAGTTTGGTAGAAGGCACACGCGCCCCTCTTTGCGTAAGCACGTAGCTGAATGGTCCAACCCGCACGGTCAGTGCAATAGCAACCTTTTGGATAGTTACATCTACGTGCTCGTTATTCGCGCATCATTTGCATCTTCCACTCGAAGTAACGCTCGTTCACGGGCGTAGCAGGAAACACCGGCCTAAGCTCGATCGAAACCAAGCAGAGCATCAATCCCGAGTCACTTCTAAAGAGAAAACGCAGAACCCAACCCGGAGTATTCTGTCATAACCTAGGCTGATGCAGCTTCGTGCAACACCTCCTCGGAACAAATTCGATTGCAGGGGCTGTGTTGGTCCATTTTCACAGTCGCGACACAAACTCTCATCTACACACGCTGCTGCAGTAGCCTTTTCCTCCACGACAGCTATCGGCCCGTGGTGTCACGATCACAATGAAACTCATCGCCCTGCTAACCGTTTCCGCTTGTTGGTCAAACTCCACCGACGGCAATCACAGGAGATGAAAGCGCGCGGGGTCGGCGTGGACCACGCGGTGGACGACTACGAAGCGGTCAAAGCAAAACTTGGTGCCGACGCTGATACTTCCGGCTCGAGATTCAACGATGCCTTCCGAATTGCTCGCGCGGAGAACCAAAGGCAAGACATGGTATTTCTTGATTCTCGACGACTTCGAGAGTCACGCGACACACACTTCGACCAGAGATGCACTCTGTACATTTTCTGCACATACGCAAGGTCTCAAACATTCATTCATTGATTTTCTCCCCATGCATCAGCCATGGCGCAACAACCACGGGGGTACAACCCCATCGTCGAGCACTGCACGATTCAATGTCTGAGGTTGATCGTTTTGTCCGCGGGACAAAGTCGCCGGGGGACCGCACAAATGTAATATCTTGCGCTTTCGTTACACGAGTCAAAGTCGCACGGGGACGAGCCAACGATATTTGCACGCGTACATGTCTGTTGCTCCTTCTTCGCAGGGTTTCCGCTGCTAGTGGTTCATTCGGCTCCTCTGGTGTTTTTCATGTTGTGCAACATTTCTTGCCGCTAGCTCGCCTTTCGCGGCAACAACGGGCCATCCTGATCCTACTGCTGATTTTTACTCCCCATGGGGGCCCTGGCCCTCGCTTCGCTGTCCGTACCGCAAACAAAATGATTCACCAATGGTACCCGGGCAAGCAGGATAAGCACGATGAAGAAAGGAAGCGAAGGGCTGGTGAGTAGTGAGGAGAAAAGAGCGACATACAAGCCGCTCTGCGACAGAGACACAAATTGATTTGGACACCATGATCGCGGCTGCTGGCGCTCCTCAGCCACGGGGCCTCCGGTCTTACTGTCGGAAGGAATCGCCCACTTACACGAATTGGGGTTGGGCAAGGTTCTCTACGTAATGTGTACCAAGTCGCCACATGAACGCTTAAAGGCGCTGGCTGGTGGGAGGAGAGTTGAATAGTCTCAATATACTTTCTCCGACGCTCATTATACCTCGTTCGCTTGTTGTTGCCGGCGTGAAACATAATATTCAAGACGGGACAAGCAGAGCCGGTTGCCCCCTGGACACCTCCAACAGCACCAGGAGTTGGGTCGTCACCGTCGCCTAGCAAGGCGCAGCCCCCTGTTCACGACGAAGACGAAGAGGAGGAGGAGGAGGAGGAGGAGGAGGATGAGGAGGATGAGGAGGACGAGGTGAGCGAACAGACTCAACACATGCGAAGGCTTGATCACACACCTTATGCCTTTGCATTTCGGTATGGACCTTCGAGACTTGATCTGTGCCTCACCGGCTCATCAGCAACAATCCCGGGGACGAGGAGACGTTTACTTTTGTCCACGATGCGTGTTCGGGTCTCGCCTTTCCGGCATTCGCACAATTGAGAGACACAGCAGTCCATCAACGCAGAAGTCGCCCCCGGAATCGTACTAGAATGCTTTCACGGAGAAGGACCATCTCTCTTCCGTGTGAGGGAATTGGTTGAAATGCGGACAAACACCACCGATATGCTGAAAAAGCATGCATAGAGGCAGATGATTCCCCGATTGTGTCGGCGTCAAATCCCGTGCCATTCTCTGGCGATAGCCATGAAGCACCACCCGCCCCCTCAAAAGGTATCACTCACCAAATCTCAGCAACTTGAACACAAAGAACGATGCCCCCATGAACCACTCTTCCCTGCATCAAACGCACTCTGTCATCAGGAGGGAGACTATTGACCGGCGGAGATGGGCGGCGCGCGAGCTAGTAAACTAGCAGCTCGTTCACACCAAGCTGAAAAGCCAGGCTGCGCTGGGTGTTGAAGTGTCTGCCGCAACTTTGCGCCCCAAATACACGATGTTCAAGGGGATTGATTTGTCGTGAGGAAGGGGATTCCCATATTATTTTTTGCCGCATTCCACCAAGGCGATTTCACGGAAATCAGTTCTCCGTGCAAGCTTCAACGCGAGGTTCGGGGCACACCTCTGCGCCACCTGCCCAGCGGAGGCTTCTTCCGCCGTGTTTCGACGGTTGCAATTTTGTTCTCGTTATTATGCACGCGCGCGTGCACATGATCTCGTCGGCTCCATTGACAATATTTGAACCTGTGTGTATGGTCGGCTTATCGATGCTCTACTTCCCTCGTTGTACCATCTTTGCTTAGAACTGGGATAACGGGCGGTCGTCCCCATGGTGCCCTGTACAACAGCGCTAGGTGGTCGTTTTTTTTTGCGTCACAGCAGCATAGTGTGCATTTGCGACGTACGTGTGCGTTGTTGACTTTCGTTTCGGAACTATGTAGGCATCATTATCGACTAATCTTTCGTCCGTGCAACCGCCGATGCGTACGATGGCATCGAACTCTGTAGGACGCATACTGTTTTCACGTAGGGATCGTTCGATTTCGTGTGTGAATCTTCATCTCGTCTGTGTTCTCGACATCGCTTAGGCTGGAGATGGTTGTTTGTCCGTCTTTGCTTACCGCTTTCATCTTGATAAAACTGTCGTCGATACGCACCAACCCGCGTCATGACAACAGCACCACCTTAAAAAGATGACGATACTCTCTCGGACAAATAGCTCGGTTGCCTGATTTATTTATTTGAACCTTTTGCCCCTTCGAAAACTTTTTCCTTGCTACTCCGCCGCCTGTAGTATGATTTGACATGGGGGGACTAGAATATGAATCAAAGAATTGTTCTCCTCACGTAAGCTTCTCGATTATCGGAGATATTGCAGGGAGAGGTAGAAAAGGGGCTTGGAGCCAGCGCATGGAACACGCAAGCTTCGCGCCTGATTCCCTGATTCCCGCTCAAGGCTGCCTCTCTGCCATTGTTTCTCTCTCTCTCTCTCTCTCTCTCTCTCTCTCTCTCTCTCTCTCTCGCTACTCACACGTCGTCAGCTGCATCCATCCATCCGGGGATATCCGGCTGCTGCTGCTGCCGTCCGACTACTACTGCTGCACGACGGGTTTGGATTGACCAAGTCCCCAGCGTACTCGACCATTCCACAGCATCACCACACACCCAGAAAACACTAGAAACCGCTTCCGCTCCCCCACCTTCCAAAGAAAGGGGATGGGTGGCGGGAAACGACACTGCTTTGTGGCCACCGATGTTGGCCTGCGCCTCGATCCTTCGGCGTGCTCGCGAAAAGCTGGCCCAGACACCAATAATTTGACGTGGGGGGATTCCGTACAATCGCCCTCTGGTCGCCGTACCCATGCATGCCTGAAACAGTCATCTTGTGCTCGCCTACATACACAGATCCGACTATATGCACAATCACACGACTATAAACCATATTCTATGGTTGGTTACGCTAGCAGAAGAAGGTTCAATGTGCCCGGACACACCAACCAATGAACCAATTCTTTCTCAACTCGACCTCAGTCTGGCGTGAGACCAAGCCATGACCAAGTGTCATACGCACCCTCATCATGCGGTTGATTTTGATTAAAGTTTCAAGGTCACCCTGTGGGTCATGCAAGCACAATAAGAATTATCCCGAACACCTACCCCCCCCCCCCCCCCCGGAGGGCCCCCCGGTGTTTGCCATCAGGATTGGGTTTTCGTCGCTTGGCAGCGATGTTTTGAAACAAAGTCGATCACTTCGTGAGCTCGGCAAACAGGTTCCCGCTTTTTTTCCTTTGTTTTTTTGCGGTAGCCATGAATGGATGGTGGTCGAGTAGATTATGTTGTGCGGGGCCGAAAAACCTCACTCCGCGCAAACGTGATAATCGCACTACGTTGGGCTAAATTGGTCAAGCACCCTCGAGGCAGTTACACAGTGCTTACAACGCAGCGTGAAACGTGCGTGGGAAACCTTGGTCTACTGCGGCATGCTTGTGTGAGGTGGTCCATACGCTGTGATATAATGCTGTGTGATGCCTGTGTGCCTCTCTTGGGCCTCTGACTTGCTGCACACAATCTCCCAAGCCGCCGGTCCCCTTGTTGGTAATACGGTACATATCCCAGTATATCCTGGATTTTTTTTCTGACTTGGCTTCAGTATAAGAAAGTGTCCCCAGTGCATCTGTCCCCATACTTTCTATACTGAAGCCAAGTCATTTGCCCTCGGGAGTGTTCAATCTCCCACACTACTGACAGTTTTGCTAAACCGCCTATGGGACACCCATGGGCGGCCCATGAAGTGCCTACCGTGGGTACTTCAACCTAGAACTTAGCCACCTTCACATCAACCCATTTATGTAGAACTTAGCCACCAGCGCCACCCTAGCACGTACCGTGTGGGCTTGGGGTTAGGGATACGGTTACGGTTAGCGTTAAGGTTATTAGCCGCAATAATTCCCCTTCCAAAGCAGATAATCTATTGTTTAGAAGTACGCTGGTTCGGTTGAAGGGCTCTCATTGGTCGCCCATGGGCTTCCCATGGGTGTCCCATGGGTCGTTTGGGAAAACTGTAGAAAGTGTGGGAGAGCCGGAGTGTACAGCCTCTCCCAACGAGCGGACGCGATTTTTCTGGACCCTAAACCTGGAAGTAACTGGGTACTAGGGGTTACGCTTGGAATTCCAATTAAAAATTGCGTGCCTTTCTGCCGTGTTTTCTTCCCGTGCAATTCCACATGGAAAATGAACGAACGCCAAGGTCAGCCATAGATTCCCACAGGATGTTCCACGGACAACCACGGAAAAGTCAATGGCAACTCCGTTGCCACGGATTCTACCGCCGCCACGGAACTCCATGACATGTCGTGGAAATGGGATTCAACATGGCTTTCCATGGCAAGACGTACAGGTTCCACTGTGGAATACGATGGACCTCCGTGACTTTCCCCCAGGAATTTCCATGGAGTAGTGACAAAACAATGTATTAGGGCACCCAAACCTGACCTCGACATTTTTCAGTACATTTTATCTAGTTGGTTCGTGCGCAAAAGAAAAACCCCTCCTGGGATCTAGTCTTCTAGCTGATTGTTGCCACGCGGGAGCAAGTTTCCAATAGAAAGATGTAGAAAAAGCTGCAATATCTCCGGTGTCACCTGCCACGCGCAGGAGGAAGAAACTACAGGAGGGGTGACGCCCCCACCGCATGTTTTCCGAGATCAAACAGGGGATAGCACCGAGCGACCTCAATTTTGTCCCAGAAACCGCTTTGTGTGGTCGTTGATGGCCGCGTCACCATTCAAGAAAGAAAGAACCTGCGAGGAACAAACTACAGGCAGGAAACACTGCAACCTACGAAAACTAGAAATGTTGACCGTAATGAATAACGGACCGTTCAACGCCTTCACGTTGATAGTAATCGTGCCGAGGAAGTTG